CAAACCCCTGCATGGGATGTATCATCGACGGATAGCTGAGGTGGCTGACATTGGGAAATCCTACCAGTGGCTGGAAAGGGGTTGACTAAAAGAAGCACTGAGGCACTGATCACAGCAGCACAGGAACAGGCACTAAGCACCAGATCCATAGAAGCGGGGGTCTTATCACAGTAGACAGGACCCAAGGTGCAGATTGTGCAAAGAAGCCTCAGAGACAGTCCAACACATAGTGGTAGGGTGTAAGACGCAGGCAGGAACAGCATATACTGAACAGCACAACCAGGTAGCTGGCATTGTGTACAGGAATATCTGCACAATGTATGGGCTAGACCCTCCAAAGTCCAGATGGGAGATTCCACAGAATGTTGTGGAGAGTAACGGGTAAGATCTGTGGGACTTCCAGATCCAGACAGGCAGGCAGGTACTGGCCAATCAGCCAGACATTGTGGTAGTAGATAAGGACCCAAAGACAGCGGTAGTGATAGATGTATCGGTGCCAAGTGACAGCAACATCAGGAAGAAGGAGTATGAGAAGCTGGAGAGATACCAGGGCCTGAAGGAAGAACTAGAGAGCATGTGGAAAGTAAAGGTCAAAGTAGTCCCAGTACTGGTAGGAGCACTCAGGGCTGTGACTCCTAAGCTTGGAGAGCAGCTCCAACAGAACCCAGGAACAACATCAGAGCTCTTTGTCCAGAAGAATGCAGTGCTAGGAACAGCTAAGATACTGCACAAAACCCTCAAACTCCCAGGCCTTTGGTAGAGGACCCAAAATTGAGGAAAACACATACCACCCATAGGGGTCAGAGAGGAATTTTATATACATACATACATACATACATACATACATACATACATACATAGAAAAGAAAATGTGCCATTTTCTAAGTGGGTATTGGCAGTGACCCGGTGGATTGCTAAGCTTGGACTTTGGTCCCAAGGTCCAGCTTTGTATTACTAGAAAATAAGGTAGCTGTTTCTGTTTATTTTTTTGTTGTTGTTATATTCTAGTTGAGGTAATTCAAAAGATTTTTCAGGGCTAAAAAACATTCTGATTATCAAGTCATTTGATATACTATAAAATGCTAATTTTTGTCACTGAGCCATTTTTTAAAAATTTTCAGTACAAGACTTGTCCACATTTTGTTACAATGGAAAGAAACCTTAACTTTAAAAAGTGCTATTTTGAAGTACCTATGTATAAAGGAGGGAGCATAAAACTCAAAGTGAAATATTAAGTGCTAAGAAAACTGAGAGTTATAAATGATGTGTTTTTCTTCTGATTTTTCTCTGTCTTTCAGTTGCTGATATGTGTTTAAGATGAGTGGAATTGGTGAAAATTCCTCTGACCCAGCCCGGGCAGAGTCAAGAAAACGCAAGGAATGTCCTGATCAACTTGGACCCAGGTTAGTTAGGACATAAAGAATGTGTTCTGCATAATGTGAAGCTGAGTGTATATTTTCATGTTACCAAAGCATTATTGCCTTGATAAATAAGAATTGCTGTACAGGCCCAAATCATAATAATTACTTATTTGCTGAAGACTTGTTTCTTTCTTTTCCCACCTGGACAAAGAATAAAGTTTGAGTGAATATTTTTAAAGGAACAAGTCTAGTCAGTTAAATCTTCAGTATCTTGAACAGTGAGCAACCTCTTATAAAACAAAAAATAAACGTATGCAGGAGAGCTCTGTTTCAGAAGACTCCACAGGTAGTCCTTGCTTAACGACCCTAATTAGCAACTCTGCCACTGAGCAGAGCGGTCACTAAGTGGAAAATCTAAATGACTGTGATTGTGCTTTCCAACTGGAAAGAGACAACACTACTCAGTTTCACACCTGTGGCTTTTATTTGCCTCCTAACCACTCCCCTGCCTTTTGGCTGTTTACTGTTTTGTACATATTGAAAGCAATGCAATTATGCTGCAACCTGGGGCTGAGAGCCGCAGGCGCACTATGCAAACAGCTTATTCTCTTGAAATCCCTTTGTCTCTAGTCTCTCCACTGGAGGGGAAGGGCTCAGGCAAAGGAGAGATTGCCTACAGAAATTGCTTACTTTTTTTTTGCCCCCTCCCCCAAGCGAAAGGTTGGAGAGAAAGAGATTTCAAGAGATATTGTAAGCTATTTGCGTAGCCCACGGCTCCCACTCCCTAGGGCTGCTGGCGTAATGACATTGCTTTCAACATATAGAAGAGCAAACAGCTTACTTTCTTGAAATTCCTCTCCAATCTCCCTGCTCTGCAAGGAAGGGAAAGGAAAAAACCACAGGTCAGGCCCAGGACAATGTGTAGTGACTGTAATGGTGATCATGTGACTGAGGGATGCTGTGATGGTTGTAAATGGGCTGTAAAGTTATTTTCTCAGCACCTTTGTAACTTCAAATGGTCACTGAACAAATGGTCGGTAAGCAAGGACTACCTGTATAGCCATCTCTCTAGCCTGGGCTTCTTCCAACACTGTGTGGACTTCAACATTCAGAATTCTTAACACTGACCATGCTGGCTAGCAAATTCTGGGAGATCAAATTTATAGAATGCCCAGGTTGCTCTGTAGTTTTAATTGGCAGAGACACGTGCTTCCTTGTATATCAAGAAGTAACGCTAGATGTTGCAGGCTAGAAACATGACATAAAGTGCATGGACACTTACATAGAATGAGTTTATATACATGCTATATGTTCATGTCTAGATGTAAGTACAGACTTGTGCAACTACAGTTTTAAAAAAAGTTCCTTAAAGAAAAAAAAGAGCATTGGTCATTTTGTGATTTTAAATTTGCTAGTTAGCTAGTTAGAATCCAGAACAGGATTACAGGTACCCCTCGCTTAACAACCTAATTGGGACCGGAATTTCTGTTACTAAGTGATGCGCTCATTAGGTGAAACATCACATGACTCCACCACTTAGCAACACCAGTTCCAGTAGTCCTGGTTGCAGTCGTTAGGCCAGGACTGCGCGCTGTCGTTGAGCCAGGACCTCACATTTTTTATCTGCTATGCTCGCCTCCAACTTCCCCCCGCCTCTCTCCCCCACCATTTTTGCCCTTTTGGCTTCCCTGGACTCCACCATCTACCCCCGCTGCTCCCAGCTGACCTTTGCCATCTTCTTCCTCCTGCTGCTGATGACGCATGCCTGGCTGCTGGCCCTTTGCTTCAGGGAGGCCTCACGAGGACCTTGCAAAGGGCCAGCAGACTTTATTTCAGTGTGTCCCTACCCCATAACTACTGCCCCCCCCTTTTTTTACAAATAGCCAAATACATATTATGAGTATTGAAAGTCTGAATAGGTGGAAATACTAGCAGTGGGGGCTTGGGGGAGGAGTTGAATGGGGGCAAAAGGATTTTTGTTACTCTAGCTTATGGGTAGGACATGGTTTGAGTTTTACTTTTAACATCTGTTTCTCAGCGGGAGGAAAACTCATTGGCTCAGTTTTCTCTGCCTGGTCTCAAAGTTCTGAGGCTGGCAGAAGATGTTCAAATGTTGTCTTCAAAGACTGGTGAGGGATTGGGGATGGAAGCAGAGTTAAAACTGAAGTGCCCCTACTGTAGTTTCATTGTAATCCAAATCTGGAGTGATCTGATTTGCAATTAGCAGACAGTGTTGCTTCTAAATTTTTACAAATCACTAGACTAAAAATATGTTTTTGGGAATTTCTTTCCAAAGTTGAGATGGATTTTGATGCTGTTTCATGTTATAAAGTTTTTTGTTCCTTAATTCCTTAATACCATAGCTGATATTAATTGTACAAGATGGGAAGTACAATAAGCATGTTAAGAATGATTCCATATATTAAGATCAGCTTGTCAATTACTCCTAAAAGTAACCTTTGTAAATTCTGAATAGAAGAAGAAACATTTTCTTCTTTCATATTTACAGATCTTAAAATGTCTCTTAAGTAAAACATTTCTAGGAAGGAGTATTGATGAATTAATTTTTCCTGCATTTTGCTACTTTGATTAAAAATTGTTGTTTAATTATAAATGGTAAATTTTCAAGTTTAATTTTAAAAATTTCTTCCAGTCCTAAAAGAAGCACTGAAAAACGTAATCGTGAACAAGAGAATAAGTATATAGAAGAGCTTGCAGAGCTGATTTTTGCTAATTTTAATGATATTGACAATTTTAACTTCAAACCTGACAAATGTGCAATCTTGAAAGAAACTGTGAAACAGATTCGTCAAATAAAAGAACAAGGTAGGGAAACTGTTTTAAACATCTTACTATGTATACATGGTCTTATTTTTTTCCATCGAAACTTAGATTACCTTGATATCTCCTACTTGAAATTGTTAATCTCATGATTATTTTGTTGAAATATGTTTTCATTCTACAGTGTTGAACTGTATAGAATCTTCAAAATAATCTTAGAAGGAATCATTTAGTATTTTTGTTAGATTTCACATCATACTGTAGATCTGCGTAGAGTTATGTCATTTCCACACAAATGATTTATAGCATCTTACAACATCATGCCACTATCAATGTGCTGATATATTAGTACAGTGCTACCTCGGGTCACGAACGCTTCCGTTCACGACCAGTTCGGGTCATGAACAGCTCTGTTTGCAAAATTTTGCCTCCGTTCGTGAACGCCGGATCGGGTGACGAACAGGATCCGCG